ACAACCTCTTGTTGCCATAGCGACGAATAAATAATATTGAAAAGAAAAAACAATGTCAAAGTGCCCACACAAACAAATACTATCCAAAAATGACAGCTTATATACTAGCGGTGTGTTTCTCGTGGATTCTAGAACGATCGATAAGACTCTCACGTCGCGATTGGTCTAGAGAAATCTATATCCAGTGGTTGTCAACATTTTAAACATAACAAAATGTTACCCAATTTCAATGAAACTGATTCACTTATGTAAAAATACATATGACGTTTTGTGAAAAATCTGTAAGTGATGGAGAAAAATGGATATCATTTTCGGATTCAGCGTACAAGAATTACTGTAGAGCATGTAAACATTTCAAGAAAATAAAACCAACGCAGGCAGGTGTTATCAAACGCAAACTTATAGGAAATAAGAGAACAATCGAATACATAATCTTTATTCTTGAATTGTATATAAAAATAAGTGAATAAACTTGCAGTGGATGATCCCAAAAGCACTAATCTTTAACGAAATTGATATAAGAATGCTATTTTAAACATTTAATGTGAAAAGCTTAAACAAGAGAGAGTCATCAATAGTCGCGGCATTTGAAATTATTTTAGGCAGGATTAGAGTAAATTAATGTATGAGACTTTTGTTACCTGGCCCGGCATGGCCAGGTGGTTGGGGAGCTTGACTCGCAATCTGAGGGTCGCGGGTTCGATTACCTGTCACACCAAACATTCTCACCGTGAGGGTCAATTCCACTATTCTTTGATACATGAGTAGCCCAGGAGTTGGTGGTGATGATTAGCTGCCTTCTTTCACTGCTAAATTAGGGACGACTAGTGTAGACAGTCCTCGTGTAGCTTTCGCGAAATTCAAACATATGTTTCCCATTTTATTAGCTTTCTTTTTGTGCGCCAGCAATACCAAGCGTGGGGCGCGCGTATACTCGATTCGATTTTATTACTCGTCAGAATCTCTACGAGCCTACCCTCAAATTGAAATTCTTTTAGGCAGGATTAGAATAAATCAATCTGAGATCTTGGGCATGGTCCAATAAATCAATCGAAAGGGTTTGACCTCCTGAATCAAAAACTGTAATTAAATCGCAAATCGGTCAAGAGATGACGGAGCTATGAGCTAAAAGTTTATACTTGAAAAAAACAAACAAAACAAACAAACAGAGAGAAAGAGAGCCGTTCTATGAGCCGCTCATCCGCGGCTAAAAATAAACACCATCGAGTTTTATCTAGTTTAAAATAACACTATGAAGTGATGATTCGGCCGAGCTTGGTCTAAGGAAAGACTCGAGTCATGTCTGTATATAAATAAAGTGTTTGTTTTAGTATAATATCAAAAACGAGGTTGTTTGTATTATGGTTGGTTGGCATATCGATTTACAAGTTCGGTAAAGTGGAACTACCAGTAAAGTCGACAGTGTTGAAACAAAATAGTGTTACGTCTCCGTTTGTAAATTGATTTTCCGTAACTTCGTTCCGACGAAATTTTAACGGCACAAGTCTTTACTTAATAAAACTGGTTTATTCTTTCCGAATATAACTTTACCGATACACTGAACTTCAACAATCGCGCAAAACAAACGCTATAACAACGAACGTCAATAATACTTCTGACTGCAGTTCAATTACTCACTATCTACTCACACGCATCACCTTCCTGCGTCACGTTGTCCCCTCTTATATATACCCGCCTACCCCATCTAGCAAACACTAGAGCATTCCTGAAGAAACAAGATAGTTCTAGAAACATGGCGTCACAGTGGTCATGTGACTCGCTGACGCAACAATACAATACCATAAACTGAAACTGGAATACTAGACATTCATCAGTCACAACTTCTAATACACGAAATACAGATGGTTAATGTCATTATGTTAAT